AGGCCCCCGAGGGACCCAAACCACTAAGGCCATTAACCTTTAAATATACATATGAAAGAGAGGTTTAGGGTTTAGGGTTTAGGGTTTAGGGTTTGCGCACGGCACAGCAAGAGTACCCGCGCCGGTTGGGCGTTTGAGGTCGATGCGAATCTTTCGGCCTCGGAGTGCGCATGGAGGCACGGAGACTGGGGCCTTGTGTCGGCCACGTCAGCTTTTTCTCCCACCCGCGCCGCTCGGGCGGCTCCCGCCCTTAACCAGCTCCGCCTTTTAGGGTTTAGTTTTCTAAACTCTTTTTTTTCTTTTGGTCGTTACACGCCGCGATTCTGCAGCAATATATGCGGCCGTCGAACAAGCAGGTTCTGCAGCAGTGCCCGCCTCTCAGTCTGAACATTTCGAGATTCTGTCTGTGCACCAAGGAATGGAGTTCCAGCGAAGGTTTGAGTAAATTGATAAGCTCCCGCGAGGATTACGCGACTCCGAGTATGGAGTCTACTGCCAGGGTTTAAGTGAATTAAGGTTTTGCGCAGTGCTCTCTGAAGTAGACTAGCAACATCATAGGTAGATGTGGCTTTGCAGAGACGCTAAACCCTAAATTTCCTATGGTGTCAACACATCCGTCTCAGATAACTGTCCTGGGATTTTTGTTTTGGGAAGACTATGGGTCATCCGTCTCAAATAACTGTCCTAGGATTTTTGTCTTAGGAAGACTATGGGTCATCCGTCTCAGATAACTGTCCTAGGATTTTTGTTTTGGGGAAGACTATGGGTTATTCGTCTCAGATAACTGTCCTGGGATTTTTGGCTTGGGAAGACTATGGGTCATCCGTCTCAGATAACTGTCCTGGGATTTTTGGCTTGGGAAGACTATGGGTCATCCGTCTCAGATAACTGCCCTGGGATTTTTGTTTTGGGGAAGACTATGGGTCATCCGTCTCAGATAACTGTCCTGGGTTTTTTGTTTTGGGAATACTATGGGTCATCCCACCCTGAAATCCCTGTGGCTCTGTATTGTAGACTTTTTACTCTGTAAGGACAACGTCCACCTTGAAATGGCCGTAGCTTCGTATTGCAGACTTTGTATTTTGTATTAGCTTTTTGATCGTTGTTTTCGAAACCAGCGTGCCCAACTAGCATCCTTGTTTTTGTCTTGGCAAGTGCCGCAACTGGTATCCCTGTACTCGCTTTTTGAGTGTTGTTTTTGAAAAATGTGTGTCCAACCAGCATCCTTGTTTTTGTCTTGGAACCAAAGTGTCAAGCTCGCGCAGTGTCTGGTGTAATGCAGGAGCCGAGCTGTTGCGGCAGTGTTCGGCGTACTGCATGCGCGGCCTTGTTGCAAGGCTGGCACTTTATTTCTAACAGAAACCCAGTATGTTCCTATCACGTGAAGATATCTAACCCAAGGAGTTGGGTTCGATGAGTCGCACATCGATGCCATGCCAGCTGTGTGAGTGACGACTGCAGCTGCTGCGAGTGTATTCTTTCGCGAGAAAAGCGAACTGTCGAGCTCCATGTCTGCCACACGGGTATGCGAGTGCTCCACGAGTGCAGCACTGGACAGCACTTTGTGGTGGGGCTCAAGTCGTTTCTTGCCGTCCTGCTTCGAACTCCTTGGTAGCTTTTTCCAAACTCGGCATGGACAGTGGGCTTCGGCCTCAGAGTTCGAGTGAAGCGAGCACTCGAACAATGCCTGAAGCCGCCTTGCCAGGACCGATGATCCCATGTCGGAGGTCATCGAAGACCAATAGGAGAGTCTAGCGAGCGGCTCCCTGTCAGTGCTCGCGACAGGCAGAAAGCGGCTCCGATATGTTCGCATGGCGCGAAACCCAGCAGCTCGATCAGACCTGGCAATCGATTTGCGACATGTAGTCACTGAGGGGCGTGGGAAACATCCGTTCGAGTGGGGCGCAGAGGTGGGTTGGGCTGCCTCCCATTTTTTCAAGATTTGACGGTCCAGAGATAGGCCACCGCCACGGGCTTGCGATGGTAACATAATCGTGTCCCCAAACCTCGTCGCTGAAAAGTTGCTCACAGCCACAGGCTTGCGATGGTAACGTAATCGTGTCCCCAAACCTCGTCGCTGGAAAGTTGCTTACAGCCACGAATTGCGATGGTAACGTAACCGTGTCCCCTAACCTCGTCGCTGGAAAGCGGCTCACTGCCACAGGCTTGCGATGGTAATGTAATCGTGTTCTGCCAAAGCTAGGCGAAATAAAAAGAACGTCCGGTTGGTTCGCAACAAACAGGAGGGAAGGTGACATCGACGGGAGCGCGCTTGGACCCGAGAAGAGACGGCCAGTGCCAACACCGCATCAACCGATTGAAAAACGATCCGCTCGACATGTCAGGAGCGACGTGCACATGCCAGAAATGCCAGAGGACCACGAGACCTTGCCAGCACTCCATGTTTTAGTAGATGCTTCTGTAGTCTCAGGAGGAAGAGAGTGGCTCCGAGATTTCTACATGGCCCGACACTCAGCAAACTGCCATCACTCGGCAGACTACCGCCGACATGCTTGAAACAACTCACCCGTGCATACACAGGGGCGTGAAGACTTGCGAGAGTAGGGACAGTATAAGTAGGTAACACCAACGTCCACCCTCAAGCTGCTGTGATTTTGTATCGTTGGCCTTGTAAACTCTAACGACCGTATAAGTATGTAACGCCAACGTCCACCCTGAAACTGCTGTGGCGATGTATTGCAGTCTGTGTAAACTGTAAGGGCAGCGTAAGTATGTAACGCCAACGTCCACCCTGGAATTGCTTTGTCTGTAACGACAGTATAGGTATGTAACGCCAATGTCCACCCTGCAGTTGACGTGACTTTGGGTTGCAGACTTTGCGAAACTGTAAGGACAGTATAAGTATGTAACGCCAACGTCTACCTTGAAATTGCCGTGGCTATGTATTGCAGACTTTGTAAACTGCACAGAGGGCATATGTACGTAACGCCAACGTCCACCCCGGAATTGCCCCGGCTTTGTATAGCAGACGTTGTGAACTGCAAAGACAGTAAAAGTATGTAACGCCAACGTCCACCCTGAATTTGCTGTGCCTTTGTATTGCAGAGTTTGTAAAGTGTAAGGACAGTATAAGTAGGTAACGCCAACGTCCACCCTGAAGTTGCTGTGCCTTCGTATTGCAGACTTTGTAGAGTGTAAGGGCCGTATAAGTATGTAACGCCAACGTCCACCCTGGAATTGCTTTGACTCTGTATTGCAGTCATTGTAAATCGTAATCACAGTATAAGTCTGTAACGCCAACGTCCACCCTCAAGCTGGTGTGCCTTCATATTGTTGGCTTTATAAACTGTAAGACCGTATAAGTATGTAACGCCAACGTCCACCTTGAAATTGCCGTGGCTTTGTATTGCGGAATTTGTAAAGTGCATTGACAGTACAAGTGCGTAACGCCAACGTCCACCCTGGAATTGCTCTGTCTGGGAGGACAGTATAAGGATGTAACGCCAACGTCCACCCTGAAGTTGCCGTGGTTTTGATTTGCAGACTTTGCCAACCGCAAGGACAGTCTAAGTATATAACGCCAACGTCCACCCTGAAATCCCTGTGTCTTTGTACTGTAGACTTTGTAAACTGTAAGGACGGTATAAGTATGTAACGCCAACGTCCACCTTGAAATTGCCGTGGCTTTGTATTGCAGAATTTGTAAAGTGCATTGACAGTACAAGTACGTAACGCCAACGTCCACCCTGGAATTCCTGCGGCTTTGTATGGCAGAATTCGTAAACTGCAAGGACAGTATAAGTGTGTAACGCCAACGTCCACCCTGGAATTTGCCGTGGCTTTGTATGGCAGACTTCGTATAAACTGCAAGGACAAGGACAGTATAAGTATGTAACGCCAACGTCCACCCTGAAATCGCTGTGGGTTCGTGGTATTGTTGGTTATATAAGCTGTAAGGACCGTGTATGTATGTAACGCCAGCGTCCACCCTGAAATCGCTGCTTTGTCTTTGTATTGTTGGTGCTTTGTCTTTGTAAACTGTAAGGACAGTATAAGTATGCAAACGCGCGGAGCTCACGCGGACTGTAACTTGCCTTTTCGCATGGATCCACTTCGCAAGGTGCTCACCAGATCCTGAGCAGCTGGAGACGACGGCACTTCTCTATCGAGCCCGTCGAGACAACCCGGGTGCTTTCCGAGAAAAACTGCAGGAAGTCGAAGCTCTGCTTGGCGAAGAAGAACTAGCAAAGCAACTTCGCCTGCTCGAAGCGTACAGCGCCAATGCCGACATCTCGGCAGAAGCGAAAAGGTCCTCGACGGCGGAGCCCGCAGCAGCTCCGTCGACGCCCGGCGCGGCGGCCAGCTCGCTAGTACTCGGTCAGGACCCCGGCCTCGCTGCAAAGCAACAGCACCACGGCCTCCTCATGCCGAGCACGCTTCTATCAGGTCACATGGCGGAGCCGATGACGGATTCCTCGGAGGACGCTTACCACGACATATCAAGCATTGGTTTTTTTGCAGTCGAACCGCGAGGATGAAAGCGATTCCGGAAAATCCGCCTGGCCCGACACCCGGTAAAGCAAGCAACCGAGCCAGCTTGACGGGCGTAAACACCGCCAGGGGCATCAAAGACATCTATGCCGAAGCGCAGGGAACTCAGACGGACGAAGACTGAATCTGTTGAGTTGTAGTTCGCAAGGCGTCGTCGGCCAGATCGGACGGCGAAGCCCGCAGCAGCTCCGTCGACGCCCGGTGCGGCGGCCAGCTCGCTAGTACTCGGTCAGGACCCCGGCCTCGCTGCAAAGCAACAGCACCACGGCTTCCTCATACCGAGCACGCTACTATCAGGTCACATGACGGAGCCGATGACGGATTCCTCAGAGGACGCTTACCACGACATATCAAGCATTGTTTTTTTTGCAGTCGAACCGCGAGGATGAAAGCGATTCCGGAAGATCCGCATGGCCCGACACCCGGTACAGCAAGCAACCGAACCAGCTTGACGAGCGTAAACACCGTCAGGGGCATCAAAGACATCTATGCCGAAGCGCAGGGAACTCAGACGAACGAAGACTGAATCTGTTGAGTTGCAGTTCGCAAGGCGTCGTCGGCCAGATCGCGAGCAACGGGAAACAACAGCTCTTCTCCACCGAGTCCGTGAGGACGATCCAGATGCTTTCCGGGAGAAGCTGCAGGAAATCGAAGCCATACTTGGCAACGAGGAACTAGCAAGGCAGCTTCGCCTGCTCGACGTGTACACCGCAAACGTCCATATCTCGGCGGGAGCTAGGGAGTCGTCGCCAACGGCGCCCGCAGCAGCTCCGAAGACGCCTGCAGCAGCCGAAGTCGCATCACCGCCAACAGCGGAGTCTCCGCGTTGGGCGCTGACAATCAAGCCGAAGTGGTGCCGGAAAATTCTCGACGGCAGCAAAGTCTGGGAAATCAAAGGACAGAACTGCAAGAAACATCTACACGAGCGGATCTGCATCGCCGAGTCTGGAACCAAGAAGCTGGTGGGAGAGATGACCATCCGCGAGAGCTTCAAGATTACCCGAGAAGACCTCGAAGCCAACAGACATTTGCACCAGATCGACGACCTCTCCATCATCACCTACGTCAACATCTACGCTTGGGTCCTGGAAGATGTGAAAGCTTACGAACGGCCTCGTTCTTACACCAGGCTGCAAGGAAGCATGGGCTGGGTGGACCTACACCCACCGCCCAAACCAGAGCTGTGCCAAAATCCAGACTGTCGTTTCGGGCTCACCCCGCAGAGTACCCGGGGAATGGCCTATGGCCGTGGCCGTGATGGCATCAGCTTCCAACACTGCGTGTTCTGTTCCAGAGAGGCCTTTCGTGCAGCAGTCCAGGAGTGCAGTGGGCGACAGATCAAAAAATGGTTGAGTCAGCTACAGTCCATCGACAGCGATCGCTACCACCAGGCACTGGAACGAATTCGGCAGGAACACGGCACAGAGATGGCGGAACGCTTCTGTTCCAACAAGCCAAAAGAAAGAAGCAGGAGAAGCACTGCAACTACATGGCAGACTTCGCTGGAATATCGTCAACCGGCGCTGAGAATGTCGGAAGCCACTCGCCGAGAGTTTGAGTCCACGCAGCAGCGAGCGAACAAGAGACTGCAGCGGAAGTTTCCCGCATTGTACAACGAAGGTGCCCGAGAGAAGACCGACTGGATGCCTCCTCGCGCCGCAGCTTTCGAGAAGTGGTGTCGAGATGATTCTTGGCAGATGTGCAGCCGCTGCGGCCGCATGGTACCACAAGCCTTCCGCGCCAAGCATGCCAGTGGCAAGGCCGTTACCAGTTCGGAATTATCCGCATGTGGACATTGCAAGTCCAACGGCTCCACAGGTTATTGGGCTCCCACTCCTGCAGACGTGCCCAAGCGCCTGCGGGAGTTGTCGGCGCAAGCCATCGAAGCTCTGCGGCCCTTCGACGTTCATACCGGAGGGACCGTGCGAGCGCCCAACGGGTACTTGGTGCACAACGACATGATGCGCTTCTCGTTCAAGACCTCCTCCGTGGAAGAAAACATTGCGAAGCTTCCGAGAAAACAGAAAGAGCGGGCGGAGAAAGCATTGGCATATTTGCTGGGAGATCGTTCCAACTCCTACTACGTCTACTTCTGGCAACTCCACGAGAAGAGCCTGCGAGCAAGACAAAGGGCAATCCAACGAGGCGACATCTGGTCGGGCACGCCTGCCAAGCGATTGCCCACGAACTTCATCGAGACGGTCGGCATCGAATGTGCGCTCTGGCCGCACCTGTACTGGTGCGTGGACATGACGGAGACGTACGTGAGATCCCAAGATGCACGCAGACTGCAGCGGCGCCGGCAAGATCAACAAGAGGATAGCGACGAGGACCTCGACGGGGCGGAGCAGAATGCATCGCGACAGAGCGCCAAAGCAAGCTATCTGGCCAAAGCCCATTCCGCAGTGATCGGATACAACTCGGATCCGCTGCTGCTGCACTTCGTCTACGACCTCTGGCTCTTCACCACCATCGGAGGGGCCAAGAACAGCGCCGGCACCGGGTCCGTGCGAGCAGCTTTGGCCACCAAGCCATACTCTCCGGAACTCTGGTGCACCTACCACACCGCACTGGTGGATCTGCAACGACAGGTGGGGTGGCCGAGCCTCTTCATTACCATCGCTCCCTACGAGTGGTCGTTCCCCTACCACCAGTGGCTGCAAGACGAGCTGAACAAATCTCTCCTGGCCAGGCTCGACATGCCAGTGGCAGAGACCTTGCATCTGGCCCATGTGCTTACTCAGGCAGTCAAAGGTCTTCTGACCGGAGCGAATGAAGGCCTGCAGGCCAAGCGAGAGCACGTCTTCTGTTCCGGAGAAGGCCCGGGTAAAGTTCGGCACTGGGTGGCCAGGCTGGAATTCCAAGACGGCAAGCGGAAACGTCACGTGCATCGGACTGGCCAATTCTACCACGGACGCGGAGCGGTTCACGTGCACATCCTTCTGTGGTTATCGGACATGCACGCCATGGATCTGTCCTCGAAGATCCGCGCCGACATACCCGGCGAGGACGAACCGGAGATGCGCGATCTGGTGTTGGGCTCCCAACTGGACTACACCTCGAGCGGCTGGCCGGCACGCGAAGAACCTACTGAGGTAAACAAGGAAGACCAGCGACTGAAACTGCATCATCCTCGCGAAGCTTTCGAAAGATGCTGTCGGGCATACGTCTCAGACGTCCTGGCCGCCCTTCGCTGCCACGTCGATGTCCAGGCATCGGATGGTCGCGCGATGATTCTGAAGTACTGCGCCAGCGCCTTGTTTGCAATCTGAGTGCATCGACTGCAGCATTTACTCGTAGATGTCGTCACCCGTTTGCTACACCTGGCCACGCAGGCTACCTGCCGAAGTTCAGCAGCTCCTTTGCAGCGGAACTGCTCAACAACGAAGCCAGCGATTACTCGCTAGCGCGCCGCGTGCTGGCAGACTACCACCCGCTGCAGCCCGAAATGGTCATGCAGCTTGCGATGCAGCAACACCCGCAGTTCATCTGCCCAGCCACCGTGCGCAAGTTCGTCGTGCCCGTTCCTTGGCAAAAGGAGATGCCCAAGCTCGTGCAGAATTACATGACGAGTTCCTGGAGACGTCCCAACATGAGCCTCTTGGACTTTCTGAGAAAATCAGGCAACAACGGCCAGATATCCCAGAGATACCGTCGCATGCACAGCCACCTCAAGATCGGCATGCCCCTGAACGATTGGATCAATGTGCACCCGGCCGACGGCAAAATCCTGGTGGCCGATATCCTGTACGCGCGCACCAACGATCGACACTACGGCCAATGGTTGCTCTTGAACGTGCCCTTCCGGAATGTCGACGACCTTTGGCTCGAGAACGCGGAGAAACTGCCAGAGAACCTCAAATTTCTCGGACTTTGCGTACTACACCGCCGTCGCTTCTGGCGAGATCCACAAAAGATTCGAGCGGAGTTGGAAAAAGAGGCTCGCAGCGAGACGTACATCCAGAACACGCTGGCCATGCTGGCGGCCCGCATCGAGCTGATCGACGCTTACCTCTCCGGGGAGATGACAGTGGAGAAGGATCCGGAGCCTGCATTGGACGGAGTTGCTAAAGTGGCCAGCGCCAACATCAAGGTTGCACCGGAGCAAGCGAACGTCATCCACGCCATCCGCCGACGAGTTCAACAAGCGCTGGCAGCAAAGTGGCCGGAAGACAACCAAGTCGAGTCCTGGGCCATGTGGCTGGAACAAGAAGGATCCGCCAACAGACCAACGGTCGTATTGGGACCGGCCGGCAGCGGAAAGAGCACCGCGGTCGAGATCGCTTTGGCCGAAGCCGTCAACGCCGGAGCGCACGTCGGTGTGGCGTGCCCGACGGGCATGTTGGCTACTCGGTACAGGAGTCGCTATCCGGATCTGGACATCGACACCGTGCACGGCATGTTCGCATTGCACAAGGACGAGCTGACGACCGCCGACATCATGAAGATCTACGATCTCATCATCATCGACGAGATTGGACAGCTCCCCGTCTGGATCTTCGATCGACTGCTTCGGCTCTGGGACGCGGCCGAGCGAAGGCCCGCCATCGTGTTCGTCGGCGACTTCTGTCAGCTGACCGGCGCGGACGGCACCACGGCAAGAGACAGCCCCAGGTGGGCCCAGATGAGCATCTCCACCCTGTTCGAGATGCGCCGATGCAAATGTGCCAAGTTGAAGTGGAAGCTACAACTACTGAGGAACTCGATACCGAGCGGGGCACAGCTCAAGAAACTCCTCAAAGGCCACCGGGCTAATGCTCATGCAGGCCACGCTCGCGGCAACGTCGTTACCGCAGACGACGTGGCCCAAGTGTTCAAGGAGAGGCCGAACACCACTTTCGTCACCATATCCCGGCGCGGGACCGCCAAGGTGAACCAGCATGCAGTGCGCGCTCTCTTCTCCGATGCGGACGTCCTTGGACGCATACCTTGCGATCCACAGGAGAACTTCGACAACTTCCGCGGCACCGCGCAAGTCGCTGCAGAACCATTCTGGATGCCCGTCTACGAAGGCATGCGAGTGACCATCACCAGAAACACTGACAAAGAGAACGGCTTCGTCAACGGCATGGGTGCAGTCGTACAGCGCATGAGACACAGCGGCGTACAGGTCAAGACCGACGAAGGCAAGGTGCTCCTGATTCATCCCATCGCTCAAGAGTGCGCCTTGTGGGATGGCAGCGTTCAGACCACCACCGCTTTTCCGCTGCGACTGGGCTACAGCACCACCTTGCACAAAATTCAAGGTGCCACCCTGTCCCACATCACCATTTGGATGGATGTTCCTTTCGTGAAAGCAGCACTGTATGTAGCACTCTCGCGAGTACAGTACGACCGCGATTGGAAGTTCGTAGGAAGCATCGACCGCCGCCACTGCCTGCCAGCAGCCATGTGAGGCGAGCATGTGAAGCATGCAACAGAAAGCTCCAGGGGCTACAGCAATTTCTAGTAAGAATGGAAAACTGCAGTTTCAAGTGGCTCTGGAATCATGGAGCCCCTCGAGCCTGACGCCCACGGAGCGGATACAATCCCCGTGGACGAACCAAACCAGCGTGTACTGCATCGAGCAAAAAGGGTCAATGCCACGGCTGACGCACTGCGAGGTGCTTAATCGAGTACGAAGTTGTGCATGCTGCATGTCGCCATTTGGCCGCAGAACCGCTGACCATAACAACATATAAAGACAATCCCAACTAACATCTTTCACATGTGTAAACTCGGATGGGACAGTTACCAGTGACAAGCACAATGGACCTGGCGCCGTGCTGCCACCAGGCATCGACGGGACTGCTTCCAAGTTCTTGCTAGGTGTAGTCCAGCCAACGCCACGCGCCAGAATACAGTTCTTGCTCTGTCCGGTGTGCTTGAAACACCTGCTCACTGACAAAAGCCCAAATCCTAAAATGTTCCTAAAGAATAACATTTAGGCCAGAATTCTTATTGGTAAGTCTCATTCTTAAGAATCAGGTGTGGCTTTGTATTGTCGACTTTGAAACTAGTCACGACAATATAAATATGTAACGCCAACGTCCACCCTGAAATTGCCGTGGCTGTGTATCGCAGACTTTGTAAACAATAAAGCCAGTAAAAGTATGTAATGCCAACGTCCACCCTGAGATTGCTGTATTGTCGACTTTGTAAACTGTAACGATCACAGCCGCAGGCTTGCGATGGTAACGTAATCGTGTCCCCAAACCTCGTCGCTGGCAAGCTGCTCACAGCCACAGGCTTGCGATGGTAACGTAATCGTGTCCCCAAACCTCGTCGCTGGCAAGTTGCTCACAGCCACAGGCTTGATGGTAACGTAATCGGTCCCCAAACCTCGTCGCTGGAAAGTTGCTCACAGCCACAAGCTTGCGATGGTAACGTAATCGGTCCCCAAACCTCGTCGCTGGAAAGTTGCTCACCGCCACAAGCTTGCGATGGTAACGTAATCGTGTCCCCAAACATGTCGCTGGAAAGTTGCCCACAGCCACAGGCTTGCGATGGTAACGTAATCGTGTCCCCAGACGTCGTCGCTGGAAAGTTGCTCACAACCACAGGCTTGTGATGGTAACGTAATCGTGTCCCCAAACGTTGTCGCTGGAAAGTTGCTCACAGCCACAGGCTTGATGGTAAGGTAATCGTGTCCCCAAACGTGTCGCTGGAAAGTTGCTTGCAGCCACAGGCTTGCGATGGTAACGTAATCGTGTCCCCAAACGTCGTCGCTGGAAAGTTGCTCACAACCACAGGCTTGCGATGGTAACGTAATCGTGTCCCCAAACCTCGTCGCTGGCAAGTTGCTCACAGCCACAGGCTTGACGGTAACGTAATCGTGGCCCAAACCTCGTCGCTGGAAAGTTGCTCACAGCCACAAGCTTGCGATGGTAACGTAATCGTGTCCCCAAACCTCGTCGCTTGAAAGTTGCTCACCGCCACAGGCTTGCGATGGTAACGTAATCGTGTCCCCAACCACGTCGCTGGAAAGTTGCCCACTGCCACAGGCTTGCGATGGTAATGTAATCGTGTCCCCAGACGTCGTCAATGGAAAGTTGCTCACAACCACAGGCTTGCGATGGTAACGTAATCGTGTCCCCAAACGTCGTCGCTGGCAAGTTGCTCACAGCCACAGGCTTGATGGTAACGTAATCGTGTCCCCAAACGTCGTCGCTGGAAAGTTGCTTGCAGCCACAGGCCTGCGATGGTAACGTAATCGTGTCCCCAATGGTCGTCGCTGGAAAGTTGCTCACAACCACAGGCTTGCGATGGTAATGTAATCGTGTCCCCAAACCTCGTCGCTGGATGTTGCTCACAGCCATGGTAACGTAATCGTGTCCCCAAACGTTGTCGCTGGAAAGTTGCCCACAGCCACAAGCTTGCCATGGTAACGTAATCGTGTCCCCAAACCTCGTCGCTGGAAAGTTGCTCGCAGCCACAGGCTTGCGATGGTAACGTAATCGTGTCCCCAGACCTCGTTGCTGGAAAGTTGCTCACAGCCACGGGCTTGTGATGCGTCCAGGGCTGTTTAACCGAATCTGTTTCCTTTCATGCATGGAGTGCCATTGCCACTACTGCTACTACTGATACTGCCACTGCACATATACTGCTACTACTAACAACTGCTTTACAGCTATACGACAGCGCCGGCCACGGTACGACCACCGGCAGGGCTGCCACGCTACTTTGCAGCATTTTTTGTAAGTCTCAATCTCGGAAACTTGAGATGCTTGTTGGGCACGCTGGTTTCTTTAGCACACATTCTCGCGGCGACTTTTGTAAGTCTCAATCTCGGAAACTTGAGGATGCTAGTTGGGCACGCCGGTTTCTTTACCAGGCATTCTTGCGGTGATTTTTGTAGGTCTCAATCTCGGAAACTTGTGGATGCTAGTTGGGCACACTGGTTTCTTTAGCACACATTCTTGCGGCGATTTTTGGGCTCAAGTCGTTTCTTGCCGTCCTACTTGGAAGTCCTTGGTAGCTATTTCCAAACTCAGCATGGACAGTGGGTTTCGGCCTCAGAGTTGGAGTGAAGCGAGCACTCGAACAATGCCTGAAGCCGCCTTGCCAGGACCGATGATCCCATGTCGGAGGTCATCGAAGACCGGTAGGAGAGTCTAGCGAACGGCTTCCTGTCAGTGCTCGCGACAGGCAGAAAGCGGCTCCGATATGTTCGCATGGCGCAAAACGCAGCAGTTCGATCAGACCTGGCAATCGATTTGCGACATGTTTTCAATGAGGGGTGTGGAAGAGATCCGTTCAAGCGGGGCGCAGAGGTGGGTTGGGCTGCCTTTCATTTTTTTCAAGACCTGATGGTCCACAGATATGCCAACGTACCAAAGCTAGGCGAAATAAAAAGCACGTCCGGTTGGTTTGCAACAAACAGGAGGGAAGGCGACATCGACCGGAGCGTGCTTGGACCCGAGAAGAGTCCACCGATCCTCCCAACTCTTATTCCCAATTCTTAATCCCAATTCTTATTCCGAATTCTTATTCGCAATTCTTATTCCTAAATCATAAAGCCAAAATCCTAAAGAATAAGAATTAAGCCCCGGAAAGGGGGTCCCCTCGAAATCCGCCACCAGCCTACATTAAAATGCGCTTTTTATGAACAGAATTTGACAACAGAAAATCCGTCCACCGATCCTCCCAATTCGTATTCCCAATTCTATTTTCCAAATTCTTATTCCGAATTCTTATTCGCTAATTCATATTCCTAAATCCTAAAGCCCAAATCCTACAGCGAAATCTTAAAGAATAAGAATTAGGCACCGGAAAGAGGGTCCCCTCGAAATGCGCCACCAGCCTACATTAATATGCATTTTTTATGAACAGAATTTAACAACAGAAAATCCGTCCACCGATCCTCCCAATTCTTACTTCCAATTCTTATTCCAAATTCTTATTCCGAATTCTTATTCGCTAGTTCTCATTCCTAAATCCTAAAGCCCAAATCCTAAAGCGAAATCTTAAAGAATAAGAATTAGGCCCCGGAAAGAGGGTCCCCTCGAAATGCGCCACCAGCCTACATTAAAATGCACTTTTTATGAACAGAATTTGACAACAGAAAATCCATCCACCGATCCTCCCAATTCTTATTCCCAATTCTTATTCCCAAATCCTAGAGCGAAACTCTATAGAATAAGAATTGGCCCCAATTCTTATTCCCAAATCCTAAAGCGAAATCCTAAAGCCTAAATCCTAAAGCCTAAATCCTAAAGCGAAACTCTAAAGAATAAGAATTGGGCCCAATTCTTAGAGAAATCTTCAAACGGCAATGTAGCGAATAAGAATTAGGGCCCAATTCTTATTCCGAAATCCTAAAGCCGAAATCCTAAAGCCTAAATCCTAAACCCGAAATCCTAAAGCGAAACTCTAAAGAATAAGAATTAGGGCCCAATTCTTATTCCTAATTCTTATTCCTGGCCCAATTCTTATTCCGAATTCTTATTCCCTGCCCAATTCTTATTCCGAAATCATAAAGCCCAATTCTTATTGAACCACTTCGCGCAGGGTTTAGGGTATAGCTATATATAGGACAGTACTGTCGTCGACCCACTGCTTAGCGGTGGCACGGCCTGTACCTTGGTGAGACAGTAGAAGCGCTGTGTAGGCACACTGCATATGGCGATGCCCTCAAACGCCGAAAAGGCAGGGGAGGCCGCAGCGGTGGGCCGACAGGGCCCACCGGCCTGCGCCCCCTGAGCCCGACACCCGGTAAAGCAAGCAACCGAGCCAGCTTGACGAGCGTAAACACCGCCAGGGGCATCAAAGACATCTATGCCGAAGCGCAGGGAACTCAGACGGACGAAGACTGAATCTGTTGAGTTGTAGTTCGCAAGGCGTCGTCGGCCAGATCGGACGGCAAAGCCCGCAGCAGCTCCGTCGACGCCCGGTGCGGCGGCCAGCTCGCTAGTACTCGGTCAGGACCCCGGCCTCGCTGCAAAGCAACAGCACCACGGCTTCCTCATACCGAGCACGCTACTATCAGGTCACATGACGGAGCCGATGACGGATTCCTCAGAGGACGCTTACCACGACATATCAAGCATTGTTTTTTTTGCAGTCGAACCGCGAGGATGAAAGCGATTCCGGAAGATCCGCATGGCCCGACACCCGGTACAGCAAGCAACCGAACCAGCTTGACGAGCGTAAACACCGTCAGGGGCATCAAAGACATCTATGCCGAAGCGCAGGGAACTCAGACGAACGAAGACTGAATCTGTTGAGTTGCAGTTCGCAAGGCGTCGTCGGCCAGATCGCGAGCAACGGGAAACAACAGCTCTTCTCCACCGAGTCCGTGAGGACGATCCAGATGCTTTCCGGGAGAAGCTGCAGGAAATCGAGGCCGTACTTGGCACCGAGGAACTAGCAAGGCAACTTCGCTTGCTCGAAGAGTACACCACGAAGGCCGACATCTCGGCGGGAGCGAGGGAGTCTTCGCCAGCGGAGCCCGCAGCAGCTCCGGAGACGCCTGCAGCAGCCGAAGTGGCATCGCCTCCAGCAGTGGAGTCTCCGCGTTGGGCGCTGACAATCAAGCCAAGGTGGTGCCGGAAAATTCTCGACGGCAGCAAAGTCTGGGAAATCAAAGGACAGAACTGCAAGAAACATCTACACGAGCGGATCTGCATCGCCGAGTCTGGAACCAAGAAGCTGGTGGGAGAGATGACCATCCGCGAAAGCTTCAAGATTACCCGAGAAGACCTCGAAGCCAACAGACATTTGCACCAGATCGACGACCTCTCGATCATCACCTACGCCAACATCTACGCCTGGGTCCTGGAAGACGTGAAAGCTTACGAACGGCCTCGTTCTTACAGCAGAATGTGGGGAAGCATCGGCTGGGTGGACCTTCGGCCACCGCCCAAACAAGAGCCGTGCCAAAATCCAGATTGCTGTTTCGGGATCACCAAGCAGAATGTCCGGGGAATGGCCTACGGCCGCGCCCACGATGGCATCAGCTTCCAGCACTGCGTGTTCTGTTCCAGGGAAGCCTTTCGTGCTGCAGCTGAGGAGCGCGGTGGGCAGCAGATCAAAAGATGGTTGAGTCAGCTACAGTCCATCGACAGCGATCGCTACAACCAGGCACTGGAACGAATTCAACAGGAACACGGCACAGAGATGGCGGAACGCTTCGGTTCCAAGAAACCCAGACAGAAAAGCAGGAGAAGCACTGCAACCACATGGCAGACTTCGCTGGAGCATCGTCAACCGGCACTGAGAATGTCGGAAGCCACTCGCCGAGAGTTTGAGTTCACGCAGCACCGAGCGAACAAGAGACTGCAGCGGAAGTTTCCCGCATTGTACACCGAAGGAGCCAGAGAGAAGACAGAGTGGATGCCTCCTCGCGCCGCAGCTTTCGAGAAGTGGTGTCGAGATGATTCTTGGCAGATGTGCAGCCGCTGCGGCCGCATGGTACCACAAGCCTTCCGCGCCAAGCATGCCAGTGGCAAGGCCGTTACCAGTTCGGAATTATCCGCATGTGGACATTGCAAGTCCAACGGCTCCACAGGTTATTGGGCTCCCACTCCTGCAGACGTGCCCAACCGCCTGCGGGAGTTGTCGGCGCAAGCCATCGAAGCTCTGCGGCCCTTCGACGTTCATACCGGAGGGACCGTGCGAGCGCCCAACGGCTACTTGGTGCACAACGACATGATGCGCTTCTCGTTCAAGACCTCCTCCGTGGAAGAAAACATTGCAAAGCTTCCGAGAAAACAAAAAGAGCGGGCGGAGAAAGCATTGGAGTATCTGCTTGGAGATCGTTCCAACTCCTACTATGTTTACTTCTGGCAACTCCACGAGAAGAGCCTGCGAGCAAGACAAAGGGCGATCCAACGAGGCGACATCTGGTCGGGCACGCCTGCCAAGCGATTGCCCACGAACTTCATCGAGACCGTCGGCATCGAATGCGCGCTCTGGCCGCACCTGTACTGGTGCGTGGACATGACGGAGACGTACGTGAGATCCCAAGATGCACGCAGACTGCAGCGGCGCCGGCAAGATCAAGATGAGGATAGCGACGAGGACCTCGACGGGGCCGAGCAGAATGCGTCGCGACAGAGCGCCAAAGCAAGCTATCTGGCCAAAGCCCATTCCGCGGTGATAGGATACAACTCGGATCCGCTGCTGCTGCACTTCGTCTACGACCTCTGGCTCTTCACCACCATCGAGGGGCCAAGAACAGCGCCGGCACCGGGTCCGTGCGAGCAGCTTTGGCCACCAAGCCATACTCTCCGGAACTCTGGCGCACCTACCACACCGCACTGGTGGATCTGCAACGACAGGTGGGGTGGCCGAGCCTCTTCATTACCATCGCTCCCTACGAGTGGTCGTTCCCCTACCACCAGTGGCTGCAAGACGAGCTGAACAAATCTCTCCTGGCCAGGCTCGACATGCCAGTGGCAGAGACCTTGCATCTGGCCCATGTGCTTACTCAGGCAGTCAAAGGTCTTCTAACCGGAGCGAATGAAGGCCTGCAGGCCAAGCGAGAGCACGTCTTCTGTTCCGGAGAAGGCCCGGGTAAAGTTCGGCACTGGGTGGCCAGGCTGGAATTCCAAGACGGCAAGCGGAAACGTCACGTGCATCGGACTGGCCAATTCTACCACGGACGCGGAGCGGTTCACGTGCACATCCTTCTGTGGTTATCGGACATGCACGCCATGGATCTGTCCTCGAAGATCCGCGCCGACATACCCGGCGAGGACGAACCGGAGATGCGCGATCTGGTGTTGGGCTCCCAACTGGACTACACCTCGAGCGGCTGGCCGGCACGCGAAGAACCTACTGAGGTAAACAAGGAAGACCAACGACTGAAACTGCATCATCCTCGCGAAGCTTTCGAAAGATGCTGTCGGGCATACGTCTCAGACGTCCTGGCCGCCCTTCGCTGCCACGTCGATGTCCAGGCATCGGATGGTCGCGCGATGATTCTGAAGTACTGCGCCAGCGCCTTGTTTGCAATCTGAGTGCATCGACTGCAGCATTTACTCGTAGATGTCGTCACCCGTTTGCTACACCTGGCCACGCAGGCTACCTGCCGAAGTTCAGCAGCTCCTTTGCAGCGGAACTGCTCAACAACGAAGCCAGCGATTACTCGCTAGCGCGCCGCGTGCTGGCAGACTACCACCCGCTGCAGCCCGAAATGGTCATGCAGCTTGCGATGCAGCAACACCCGCAGTTCATCTGCCCAGCCACCGTGCGCAAGTTCGTCGTGCCCGTTCCTTGGCAAAAGGAGATGCCCAAGCTCGTGCAGAATTACATGACGAGTTCCTGGAGACGTCCCAACATGAGCCTCTTGGACTTTCTGAGAAAATCAGGCAACAACGGCCAGATATCCCAGAGATACCGTCGCATGCACAGCCACCTCAAGATCGGCATGCCCCTGAACGATTGGATCAATGTGCACCCGGCCGACGGCAAAATCCTGGTGGCCGATATCCTGTACGCGCGCACCAACGATCGACACTACGGCCAATGGTTGCTCTTGAACGTGCCCTTCCGGAATGTCGACGACCTTTGGCTCGAGAACGCGGAGAAACTGCCAGAGAACCTCAAATTTCTCGGACTTTGCGTACTACACCGCCGTCGCTTCTGGCGAGATCCACAAAAGATTCGAGCGGAGTTGGAAAAAGAGGCTCGCAGCGAGACGTACATCCAGAACACGCTGGCCATGCTGGCGGCCCGCATCGAGCTGATCGACGCTTACCTCTCCGGGGAGATGACAGTGGAGAAGGATCCGGAGCCTGCATTGGACGGAGTTGCTAAAGTGGCCAGCGCCAACATCAAGGTTGCACCGGAGCAAGCGAACGTCATCCACGCCATCCGCCGACGAGTTCAACAAGCGCTGGCAGCAAAGTGGCCGGAAGACAACCAAGTCGAGTCCTGGGCCATGTGGCTGGAACAAGAAGGATCCGCCAACAGACCAACGGTCGTATTGGGACCGGCCGGCAGCGGAAAGAGCACCGCGGTCGAGATCGCTTTGGCCGAAGCCGTCAACGCCGGAGCGCACGTCGGTGTGGCGTGCCCGACGGGCATGTTGGCTACTCGGTACAGGAGTCGCTATCCGGATCTGGACATCGACACCGTGCACGGCATGTTCGCATTGCACAAGGACGAGCTGACGACCGCCGACATCATGAAGATTTACGATCTCATCATCATCGACGAGATTGGACAGCTCCCCGTCTGGATCTTCGATCGACTGCTTCGGCTCTGGGACGCGGCCGAGCGAAGGCCCGCCATCGTGTTCGCGCTGGCAAGTTGCTCACAGCCACAGGCTTGATGGTAACGTAATCGTGGCCCAAACCTCGTCGCTGGAAAGTTGCTCACAGCCACAAGCTTGCGATGGTAACGTAATCGTGTCCCCAAACCTCGTCGCTGGAAAGTTGCTCACCGCCACAGGCTTGCGATGGTAACGTAATCGTGTCCCCAAACACGTCGCTGGAAAGTTGCCCACTGCCACAGGCTTGCGATGGTAATGTAATCGTGTCCCCAGACGTCGTCAATGGAAAGTTGCTCACAACCACAGGCTTGCGATGGTAACGTAATCGTGTCCCCAAACGTCGTCGCTGGCAAGTTGCTCACAGCCACTGGCTTGTGATGGTAACGTAATCGTGTCCCCAAACATGTCGCTGGAAAGTTGCCCACAGCCACAGGCTTGCGATGGTAACGCAATCGTGTCCCCAGACGTCGTCGCTGGAAAGTTGCTCACAACCACAGGCTTGCGATGGTAACGTAATCGTGTCCCCAGACCTCGTTGCTGGAAAGTTGCTCACAGCCACGGGCTTGCGATGCGTCCAGGGCTGTTTAACCGAATCTGTTTCCTTTCATGCATGGAATACGACAGCGCCGGCCACGGTACGACCACCGGCAGGGCTGCCACGCTACTTTGCAGCATTTTTTGTAAGTCTCAATCTCGGAAACTTGAGATGCTTGTTGGGCACGCTGGTTTCTTTAGCACACATTCTCGCGGCGACTTTTGTAAGTCTCAATCTCGGAAACTTGAGGATGCTAGTTGGGCACGCCGGTTTCTTTACCAGGCATTCATGCGGTGATTTTTGTAGATCTCAATCTCGGAAACTTGTGGATGCTAGTTGGGCACACTGGTTTCTTTAGCACACATTCTTGCGGCGATTTTTGGGCTCAAGTCGTTTCTTGCCGTCCTACTTGGAAGTCCTTGGTAGCTATTTCCAAACTCAGCATGGACAGTGGGTTTCGGCCTCAGAGTTGGAGTGAAGCGAGCACTCGAACAATGCCTGAAGCCGCCTTGCCAGGACCGATGATCCCATGTCGGAGGTCATCGAAGACCGGTAGGAGAGTCTAGCGAACGGCTTCCTGTCAGTGCTCGCGACAGGCAGAAAGCGGCTCCGATATGTTCGCATGGCGCAAAACGCAGCAGTTCGATCAGACCTGGCAATCGATTTGCGACATGTTTTCAATGAGGGGTGTGGAAGACATCCGTTCAAGCGGGGCGCAGAGGTGGATTGGGCTGCCTTTCATTTTTTTCAAGACCTGATGGTCCAGAGATATGCCAACGTACCAAAGCTAGGCGAAATAAAAAGCACGTCCGGTTGGTTTGCAACAAACAGGAGGGAAGGTGACATCGACCGGAGCGTGCTTGGACCCGAGAAGAGTCCACCGATCCTCCCAACTCTTATTCCCAATTCTTAGTCCCAATTCTTATTCCGAATTCTTATTCGCTAATTCTTATTCCTAAATCATAAAGCCAAAATCCTAAAGAATAGGAATTAAGCCCCGGAAAGGGGGTCCCCTCGAAATCCGCCACCAGCCTACATTAAAATGCGTTTTTTATGAACAGAATTTGACAACAGAAAATCCGTCCACCGATCCTCCCAATTCGTATTCCCAATTCCTATTCCAAATTCTTATTCCGAATTCTTATTCGCTAATTCATATTCCTAAATCCTAAAGCCCAAATCCTACAGCGAAATCTTAAAGAATAAGAATTAGGCACCGGAAAGAGGGTCCCCTCGAAATGCGCCACCAGCCTACATTAAAATGCACTTTTTATGAACAGAATTTAACAACAGAAAATCCGTCCACCGATCCTCCCAATTCTTACTTCCAATTCTTATTCCAAATTCTTATTCCGAATTCTTATTCGCTAGTTCTCATTCCTAAATCTTAAAGCACAAATCCTAAAGCGAAATCTTAAAGAATAAGAACTAGGCCCCGGAAAGAGGGTCCCCTCGAAATGCGCCACCAGCCTACATTAAAATGCACTTTTTATGAACAGAATTTGACAACAGAAAATCCGTCCACCGATCCTCCCAATTCTTATTCCCAATTCTTATTCCCAAACCCTAGAGCGAAACTCTAAAGAATAAGAATTGGCCCCAATTCTTATTCCCAAATCCTAAAGCGAAATCCTAAAGCCTAAATCCTAAAGCCTAAATCCTAAAGCGAAACTCTAAAGAATAAGAATTGGGCCCAATTCTTAGAGAAATCCTCAAACGGCAATGTAGCGAATAAGAATTAGGGCCGAATTCTTATTCCGAAATCCTAAAGCCGAAATCCTAAAGCCTAAATCCTAAACCCGAAATCCTAAAGCGAAACTCTAAAGAATAAGAATTAGGGCCCAATTCTTATTCCTAATTCTTATTCCTGGCCCAATTCTTATTCCGAATTCTTATTCCCTGCCCAATTCTTATTCCGAAATCATAAAGCCCAATTCTTATTGAACCACTTCGCGCAGGGTTTAGGGTATAGCTATATATAGGACAGTACTGTCGTCGACCCACTGCTTAGCGGTGGCACGGCCTGTACCTTGGTGAGACAGTAGAAGCGCTGTGTAGGCACACTGCATATGGCGATGCCCTCAAACGCCGAAAAGGCAGGGGAGGCCGCAGCGGTGGGCCGACAGGGCCCACCGGCCTGCGCCCCCTGAGTTTAGGGTTTAGGGTTTAGGGTTTAGGGTTTAGGGTTTAGGGTTTAGGGTTTAGGGTTTAGGGTTTAGGGTTTAGGGTTTAGGGTTTAGGGTTTAGGGGTTTAGGGTTTAGGGTTTAGGGTTTGCGCAAGGCACAGCAAGAGTACCCTCGCCGGTTGGGCGTTTGAGGTCGATGCGAATCTTTCGGCCTCGGAGTGCGCATGGAGGCACTGAGACTGGGGCCTTGTATCGGCCACGTCAGTTTTTTTTTTCCCACCCGCGCCGCTCGGGCGGCTCCCGCCCTTAACCAGCTCCGCCTTTTAGGGTTTAGTTTTCTAAACTCTTTTTTTTCTTTTGGTCGTTACACGCCGCGATTCTGCAGCAATATATGCGGCCGTCGAACAAGCAGGTTCTGCAGCAGTGCCCGCCTCTCAGTCTGAACATTTCGAGATTCTGTCTGTGCACCAAGGAATGGAGTTCCAGCGAAGGTTTGAGTAAATTGATAAGCTCCCGCGAGGATTACGCGACTCCGAGTATGGAGTCTACTGCCAGGGTTTAAGACAAATTAAAGTTTTGCGCAGTGCTCTCTGAAGTAGACTAGCAACATCATAGGTAGATGTGGCTTTGCAGAGACGCTAAACCCTAAATTTCCTATGGTGTCAACACATCCGTCTCAGATAACTGTCCTGGGATTTTTGTTTTGGGAAGACTATGGGTCATCCGTCTCAGATAACTGTCCTAGGATTTTTGTTTTTGGAAGACTATGGGTCATCCGTCTCAGATAACTGTCCTGGGATTTTTGTTTTGGGAAGACTATGGGTCATCCGTCTCAGATAACTGTCCTGGGATTTTTGTTTTGGGAAGACTATGGGTCATTCGTCTCAGATAACTGTCCTGGGATTTTTGGCTTGGGAAGACTATGGGTCATCTGTCTCAGATAACTGTCCTGGGATTTTTGTTTTGGGGAAGACTATGGGTCATCCGTCTCAAATAACTGTCCTGGGATTTTTGTTTTGGGAAGACTATGGGTCATCCGTCTCAGATAACTGTCCTAGGATTTTTGTCTTGGGAAGACTATGGGTCATCTGTCTCAGATAACTGTCCTGGGATTTTTGTTTTGGAAGACTATGGGTCATCCGTCTCAGATAACTGTCCTGGATTTTTGTTTTGGGAAGACTATGGGTCATTCGTCTCAGATAACTGTCCTGGTATTTTTGCTTGGAAGACTATGGGTCATCCGTCTCAGATAACTGTCCTGGGATTTTTGTTCTTGGGAAGACTATGGGTCATCCGTCTCAGATAACTGTCCTGGGATTTTTGTTTTGGGAAGACTATGGGTCATCCGTCTCAGATAACTGTCCTGGGATTTTTGTCTTGGGAAGACTATGGGTCATCCGTCTCAGATAACTGTCCTCAGATAACTGTTTTGGTCTTGTCCTGGGATTTTTGTTTTGGGAAGACTATGGGTCATCCGTCTCAGATAACTGTCCTGGGATTTTTGTTTTGGGAAGACTATGGGTCATTCGTCTCAGATAACTGTCCTGGGATTTTTTGGCTTGGGAAGACTATGGGTCATCTGTCTCAGATAACTGTCCTGGGATTTTTGTTTTGGGGAAGACTATGGGTCATCCGTCTCAAATAACTGTCCTGGGATTTTTGTTTTGGGAAGACTATGGGTCATCCGTCTCAGATAACTGTCCTAGGATTTTTGTCTTGGGAAGACTATGGGTCATCCGTCTCAGATAACTGTCCTGGGATTTTTGTTTTGGGAAGACTATGGGTCATCCGTCTCAGATAACTATCCTGGGATTTTTGTTTTGGGAAGACTATGGGTCATTCGTCTCAGATAACTGTCGTAGGATTTTTGCCTTGGGAAGACTCGCTGCACCGCTGCTTGCGACTCGCGAGGCTCGGCGTTGTCTACGTTCTCGGAGGGACGTGAGGCCTGCAGTCGGGCCGAAGCTGCAACGATGCCAAGCGCGCCTTTGCCTCGACAGGGAGGGTCTGGCGAGAACCGCTTCTTGCAGCGTTCAATCGATGCGGAGAGCTCGGAAGCGCGCTTGGCACAGTTGCAGGCTGTTGTTTAGACACTTAGAGACTGTAGTGCAAGATTCAAGGCGCCCAAATTCCAAGTCGAATCTGGCGGCTGCGAAGGAGCAAGACGGTGCGGCACTCGGTGACAAGGTTAGTTGCGAGTCTTGTCTTGTTTGAACAGAGACATAAGAGTAGCATACGACTGCAGCTTCGAACACTGCCACATAGACGAGAATTGCCTTGACACGTAGGGTCGGGCGAGTAAGCAGAGCTCGAAGGCCGGACGGCAGACGCGGCTTCGCCGAGGGTGGAAGGAGGCACGCTTGTATCCCTGTATTCGCCTTTTGAGTGTTGTTTTTGAAAAATGTGTGTCCAACTAGCATCCTTGTTTTTGTCTTGTAACCACCGTGTCAAGCTCGCGCAGTGTTTGGTGTAATTCAGGAGCCGAGCTGTTACGGCAGTGTTCGGAGTACTGCATGCGCGGCCTTGTTGCAAGGCTGGCACAATTTTCTAACAGAAACCCAGTATGTTCCTACCACGTGAAGATGGCTGCTGCTACCGACAAGCCCTATTCCGTAATGATGCCCTTTCGGATTTGTCAATTTGTTTGTGATCCCGAAGCTGACTTAGCAAGTTTATGGTTCAACCTTGCCGCCATCTAACCCAAGGAGTTGGATTCGATGAGTCGCACATCGATGCCATGCCAGCTGTGTGAGTGACGACTGCAGCTGCTGCGAATAGATTCTTTCGCGAGAAAATCGAACTGTCGAGCTCCATGTCTACCACACGGGTATGCGAGTGCTCCACGACTGCCGCACTGGACAGCACTTTGCGGTGGGGCTCAAGTCGTTTCTTGCCGTCCTGCTGGGAACTCCTTGGTAGCTTTGCCAAACTCGGCATGGACAGTGGGCTTCGGCCTCAGAGTTCGAGTGAATCGAGCGCTCGAACAATGCCTGAAGCCACCTTGCTAGGACCGATGATCCCATGTCGGAGGTCTTCGAAGACCGGTAGGAGAGTCTAGCGAACTGCTCCCTGTCAGTGCTCGCGACAGGCAGAAAGCGGCTCCGATATGTTCGCATGGTGCGAAACCCAGCAGCTCGATCAGACCCGGCAATCGATTTGCAACATGTTTCCAATGAGGGGCGTGGGAGACATCCGTTCAAGTGGGGCGCAGAGGTGGGTTGGGCTGCCTTCCATTTTTGCAAGATCTGATGGTCCAGAGATATGCCACCGCCACAGGCTTGCGATGGTAACGTAATCGTGTCCCCAAACCTCCTCGCTGGAAAGCTGCTCTTAGCAACAAGCTTGCGATGGTAACGTAGTCGTGTCCCCAAGCCTCGTCGCTGGGAAGTTGCTGACAGCCACAGGCTTGCGATGGTAACGCAGTCGTGTCCCCAAACGCCGTCGCTGGAAAGTTGCTCACAGCCACAGGCTTGCGATGGTCACGTAATCGTGTCCCCAAACCTCGTCGCTGGAAAGTTGCTCACAACCACAGGCTTGCGATGGTAACGTAATCGTGTTCCCAAACCTCGTCGCTGGAAAGTTGCTCAGAGCCACAGGCTTGCGATGGTAACGTAGTCGTGTCCCCAAACCTCGTCGCTGGAAAGCTGCCCACAGCCACAGGCTTGCGATGGTAACGTACTCGTGTTCTACCAAAGCTAGGCGAGATAAAAAGAACGTCCGGTTGGTTCACAACAAACAGGAGGGAAGGTGACATCGACGGGAGCGCGTTTGGACCCGAGAAGAGACGGTCAGTGTCAACACCGCATCAACCGATTGAAAACGATCCGCTCGACATGTCAGGAGCGACGTGCACGTGCCAGAAATGCGAGAGGACCACGAAACCTTGCCAGCACTCCATGTTTTAGTAGATGCTTCTGTAGTCTCAGGAGGAAGAGAGTGGCTCCGAGATTTCTGCATGGCCCGAGACTCAGCAAACGGCCGTCACTCGGCAGACTACCGCCGACATGCTTGAAACAACTCACCCGTGCATACACAGGGGCGTGGAAGACTTGCGAAGTGTAGGGACAGTATAAGTAGGTAACAACAACGTCCACTCTGAAGCTGCTGTGGCTTTGTATCGTTGGCCTTGTAAACTGAAACGACCGTAAAAGTATGTAACGCCAACGTCCACCCTGAAACTGCTGTGGCGCTGTATTGCAGTCTGTGTAAGCTGTAAGGACAGTGTAAGTATGTAACGCCAACGTCCACCCTGGAATTGCTTTGTCCGCCACGACAGTATAGGTATGTAACGCCAACGTCCACCCTGCAGTTGACGTGACTTTGGATTGCAGACTTTGCGAAACTGCGAGACAGTATAAGTATGTAACGCCAACGTCCACCTTGAAATTGCCGTGGCGTTGTATTGCAGACTTTGTAAACTGTACAGAGGGCATATGTACGTACCGCCAACGTCCACCCCGGAATTGCCCCGGCTTTGTATAGCAGACGTGTAAACTGCAAAGACAGTAAAAGTATGTAACGCCAACGTCCACCCTGAATTTGCTATGCCTTTGCATTGCAGAGTTTGTAGAGTGTAAGGACAGTATAAGTAGGTAACGCCAACGTCCACCCCGGAATTGCTTTGACTCTGTATTGCAGTCATTGTAAATCGTAACCGCAGTATAAGTATGTAACGCCAACGTCCACCCTCAAGCCGGTGTGCCTTCGTAATATTAGCTTTATAAACTGTAAGACCGTATAAGTATGTAACGCCAACGTCCACCTTCAAATTGCCTTGACTCTGTATCGCATTCTTTGTAAACTGCAAGGACAGTATAAGTATGTAACGCCAACGTCCACCCTGGAATTGCTCTGTCTGGGAGGACAGTACAAGTATGTAACGCCAACGTCCACCCTGAAGTTGTCGTGGCTTTGTATTGCATTCTTTCGCCAACTGCAAGGACAGTCTAAGTATATAACGCCAACGTCCACCCTGAATTCCCTGTGTCTTTGTACTGAAGACTTTGTAAACTGTAAGGACGGTATAAGTATATGTAACGCCAACGTCCACCTTGAAATTGCCGTGGCTTTGTATTGCAGAATTTGTAAAGTGTATTATTGACAATACAAGTACGTAACGCCAACGTCCAGCCTGGAATTCCTGTGGCTTTGTATGGCAGACTTCGTAAACTGCAAGGACAGTATAAGTGTGTAACGCCAACGTCCACCTTGAAATTGCCGTGGCTTTGTAGCGCAGACTTAAGTTGCATAAACTGTAAAGACAGTACAAGTACGTAACGCCAACCCTCGATTGCTGTGGCTTTGTATGGCAGACTTCGTCAACTGTAAGGACAGTAGCTGCAAGGACAGTATAAGTATGTAACGCCAACGTCCACCCTGAAATCGCTGTGGGTTCGTCGAACCAGCTTGTCAAAAATACACACGCCAGGGGCGTGGAAAACATCTATGCCCGAACGCGGGGAGCTCACACGGACTATAAGTTAGGCCATTCGCATCGATTCTACCTCGCAAGGTGCTCACCAGATCCTGAGCAGCTGGAGACGACGGCACTTCTCTATCGAGCCCGTCGAGACAACCCGGATGCTTTCCGAGAAAAGCTGCAGGAAGTCGAAGCTCTGCTTGGCGAGGAAGAACTAGCAAAGCAACTTCGCCTGCTCGAAGAGTACAGCGCGAATGCCGACATCTCGGCAGAAGCGAAAAGGTCCTCGACAGCGGAGCCCGCAGCAGCTCCGTCGACGCCCGGCGCGGCGGCCAGCTCGCTAGTACTCGGTCAGGACCCCGGCCTCGCTGCAAAGCAACAGCACGACGGCCTCCTCATACCGAGCACGCTTCTATCAGGTCACATGGCGGAGCCGATGACGGATTCCTCAGAGGACACTTACCACGACAAATCAAGCATTTTTTTTGCAATCGAACCGCAAGGATGAAAGCGATTCCGGAAAATCCGCATGGCCCGACACCCGGTAAAGCAAGCAACCGAACCAGCTTGACAAGCGTAAACACCGCCAGGGGCATCAAAGACATCTATGCCGAAGCGCAGGGAACTCAGACGGACAAAGACTGAATCTGTTGAGTCGTAGTTCGCAAGGTGTCGTCGGCCAGCAGCTCCGTCGACGCCCGGCGCGGCGGCCAGCTCGCTAGTACTCCGTCAGGACCTCGGCCTCGCTGCAAAGCAACAGCACCACGACCTCCTCATACCGAGCACGCTTCTATCAGGTCACATGGCGGAGCCGATGACGGATTCCTCAGAGGACGCCTACCACGACAAATCACGCATTTGTTTTTTTTGCAGTCGAACCGCGAGGATGAAAGCGATTCCGGAAAATCCGCATGGCCCGACACCCGGTAAAGCAAGCAACCGAAACAGCTTGACAAGGGTAAACACCGCCAGGGGCATCAAAGACATCTATGCCGAAGCGCAGGGAACTCAGACGGACGAAGACTGAATCTGTTGAGTTGTAGTTCGCAAGGTGTCGTCGGCCAGATCGCGAGCAACTGGAAACAACGGCTCTTCTCCACCGAGTTCGTGAGGACGATCCAGATGCTTTCCGGGAGAAGCTGCAGGAAATCGAAGCCATACTTGGCAACGAGGAACTAGCAAGGCAGCTTCGCCTGCTCGACATGCACACCGCAAACGTCCATATCTCGGCGGGAGCTAGGGAGTCGTCGCCAACGGCGCCCGCAGCAGCTCCGAAGACGCCTGCAGCAGCCGAAGTCGCATCACCGCCAACAGCGGAGTCTCCGCGTTGGGCACTGACAATAAAGCCGAAGTGGTGCCGGAAAATTCTCGACGGCAGCAAAGTCTGGGAAATCAAAGGACAGAACTGCAAGAAACATCTACACGAGCGGATCTGCATCGCCGAGTCTGGAACCAAGAAGCTGGTGGGAGAGATGACCATCCGCGAGAGCTTCAAGATTACCCGAGAAGACCTCGAAGCCAACAGACATTTGCACCAGATCGACGACCTCTCCATCATCACCTACGTCAACATCTGCGCTTGGGTCCTGGAAGATGTGAAAGCTTACGAACGGCCTCGTTCTTACACCAGGCTGCAAGGAAGCATGGGCTGGGTGGACCTACGCCCACCGCCCAAACCAGAGCTGTGCCAAAATCCAGACTGTCGTTTCGGGCTCACCCCGCAGAGTACCCGGGGAATGGCCTATGGCCGTGGCCGTGATGGCATCAGCTTCCAACACTGCGTGTTCTGTTCCAGAGAGGCCTTTCGTGCAGCAGTCCAGGAGTGCAGTGGGCGACAGATCAAAAAATGGTTGAGTCAGCTACAGTCCATCGACAGCGATCGCTACCACCAGGCACTGGAACGAATTCGGCAGGAACACGGCACAGAGATGGCGGAACGCTTCTGTTCCAACAAGCCAAAAGAAAGAAGCAGGAGAAGCACTGCAACTACATGGCAGACTTCGCTGGAATATCGTCAACCGGCACTGAGAATGTCGGAAGCCACTCGCCGAGAGTTTGAGTCCACGCAGCAGCGAGCGAACAAGAGACTACAGCGGAAGTTTCCCGCATTGTACAACGAAGGTGCCCGAGAGAAGACTGACTGGATGCCTCCTCGCGCCGCAGCTTTCGAGAAGTGGTGTCGAGATGATTCTTGGCAGATGTGCAGCCGCTGCGGCCGCATGGTACCACAAGCCTTCCGCGCCAAGCATGCCAGTGGCAAGGCCGTTACCAGTTCGGAATTATCCGCATGTGGACATTGCAAGTCCAACGGCTCCACAGGTTATTGGGCTCCCACTCCTGCAGACGTGCCCAAGCGCCTGCAGGAGTTGTCGGCGCAAGCCATCGAAGCTCTGCGGCCCTTCGACGTTCATACCGGAGGGACCGTGCGAGCGCCCAACGGGTACTTGGTGCACAACGACATGATGCGCTTCTCGTTCAAGACCTCCTCCGTGGAAGAAAACATTGCGAAGCTTCCGAGAAAACAGAAAGAGCGGGCGGAGAAAGCATTGGCATATCTGCTGGGAGATCGTTCCAACTCCTACTACGTCTACTTCTGGCAACTCCACGAGAAGAGCCTGCGAGCAAGACAAAGGGCAATCCAACGAGGCGACATCTGGTCGGGCACGCCTGCCAAGCGATTGCCCACGAACTTCATCGAGACGGTCGGCATCGAATGCGCGCTCTGGCCGCACCTGTACTGGTGCGTGGACATGACGGAGACGTACGTGAGATCCCAAGATGCACGCAGACTGCAGCGGCGCCGGCAAGATCAACAAGAGGATAGCGACGAGGACCTCGACGGGGCGGAGCAGAATGCATCGCGACAGAGCGCCAAAGCAAGCTATCTGGCCAAAGCCCATTCCGCAGTGATCGGATACAACTCGGATCCGCTGCTGCTGCACTTCGTCTACGACCTCTGGCTCTTCACCACCATCGGAGGGGCCAAGAACAGCGCCGGCACCGGGTCCGTGCGAGCAGCTTTGGCCACCAAGCCATACTCTCCGGAACTCTGGTGCACCTACCACACCGCACTGGTGGATCTGCAACGACAGGTGGGGTGGCCGAGCCTCTTCATTACCATCGCTCCCTACGAGTGGTCGTTCCCCTACCACCAGTGGCTGCAAGACGAGCTGAACAAATCTCTCCTGGCCAGGCTCGACATGCCAGTGGCAGAGACCTTGCATCTGGCCCATGTGCTTACTCAGGCAGTCAAAGGTCTTCTGACCGGAGCGAATGAAGGCCTGCAGGCCAAGCGAGAGCACGTCTTCTGTTCCGGAGAAGGCCCGGGTAAAGTTCGGCACTGGGTGGCCAGGCTGGAATTCCAAGACGGCAAGCGGAAACGTCACGTGCATCGGACTGGCCAATTCTACCACGGACGCGGAGCGGTTCACGTGCACATCCTTCTGTGGTTATCGGACATGCACGCCATGGATCTGTCCTCGAAGATCCGCGCCGACATACCCGGCGAGGACGAACCGGAGATGCGCGATCTGGTGTTGGGCTCCCAACTGGACTACACCTCGAGCGGCTGGCCGGCACGCGAAGAACCTACTGAGGTAAACAAGGAAGACCAACGACTGAAACTGCATCATCCTCGCGAAGCTTTCGAAAGATGCTGTCGGGCATACGTCTCAGACGTCCTGGCCGCCCTTCGCTGCCACGTCGATGTCCAGGCATCGGATGGTCGCGCGATGATTCTGAAGTACTGCGCCAGCGCCTTGTTTGCAATCTGAGTGCATCGACTGCAGCATTTACTCGTAGATGTCGTCACCCGTTTGCTACACCTGGCCACGCAGGCTACCTGCCGAAGTTCAGCAGCTCCTTTGCAGCGGAACTGCTTAACAACGAAGCCAGCGATTACTCGCTAGCGCGCCGCGTGCTGGCAGACTACCACCCGCTGCAGCCCGAAATGGTCATGCAGCTTGCGATGCAGCAACACCCGCAGTTCATCTGCCCAGCCACCGTGCGCAAGTTCGTCGTGCCCGTTCCTTGGCAAAAGGAGATGCCCAAGCTCGTGCAGAATTACATGACGAGTTCCTGGAGACGTCCCAACATGAGCCTCTTGGACTTTCTGAGAAAATCAGGCAACAACGGCCAGATATCCCAGAGATACCGTCGCATGCACAGCCACCTCAAGATCGGCATGCCCCTGAACGATTGGATCAATGTGCACCCGGCCGACGGCAAAATCCTGGTGGCCGATATCCTGTACGCGCGCACCAACGATCGACACTACGGCCAATGGTTGCTCTTGAACGTGCCCTTCCGGAATGTCGACGACCTTTGGCTCGAGAACGCGGAGAAACTGCCAGAGAACCTCAAATTTCTCGGACTTTGCGTACTACACCGCCGTCGCTTCTGGCGAGATCCACAAAAGATTCGAGCGGAGTTGGAAAAAGAGGCTCGCAGCGAGACGTACATCCAGAACACGCTGGCCATGCTGGCGGCCCGCATCGAGCTGATCGACGCTTACCTCTCCGGGGAGATGACAGTGGAGAAGGAGCCGGAGCCTGCATTGGACGGAGTTGCCAAAGTGGCCAGCGCCAACATCAAGGTTGCACCGGAGCAAGCGAACGTCATCCACGCCATCCGCCGACGAGTTCAACAAGCGCTGGCAGCAAAGTGGCCGGAAGACAACCAAGTCGAGTCCTGGGCCATGTGGCTGGAACAAGAAGGATCCGCCAACAGACCAACGGTCGTATTGGGACCGGCCGGCAGCGGAAAGAGCACCGCGGTCGAGATCGCTTTGGCCGAAGCCGTCAAGGCCGGAGCGCACGTCGGTGTGGCGTGCCCGACGGGCATGTTGGCTACTCGGTACAGGAGTCGCTATCCGGATCTGGACATCGACACCGTGCACGGCATGTTCGCATTGCACAAGGACGAGCTGACGACCGCCGACATCATGAAGATCTACGATCTCATCATCATCGACGAGATTGGACAACTCCCCGTCTGGATCTTCGATCGACTGCTTCGGCTCTGGGACGCGGCCGAGCGAAGGCCCGCCATCGTGTTCGTCGGCGACTTCTGTCAGCTGACCGGCGCGGACGGCACCACGGCAAGAGACAGCCCCAGGTGGGCCCAGATGAGCATCTCCACCCTGTTCGAGATGCGCCGATGCAAATGTGCCAAGTTGAAGTGGAAGCTACAACTACTGAGGAACTCGATACCGAGCGGGGCACAGCTCAAGAAACTCCTCAAAGGCCACCGGGCTAATGCTCATGCAGGCCACGCTCGCGGCAACGTCGTTACCGCAGACGACGTGGCCCAAGTGTTCAAGGAGAGGCCGAACACCACTTTCGTCACCATATCCCGGCGCGGGACCGCCAAGGTGAACCAGCACGCAGTGCGCGCTCTCTTCTCCGATGCGGACGTCCTTGGACGCAAACCTTGCGATCCACAGGAGAACTTCGACAACTTCCGCGGCACCGCGCAAGTCGCTGCAGAACCATTCTGGATGCCCGTCTACGAAGGCATGCGAGTGACCATCACCAGAAACACGGACAAAGAGAACGGATTCGTCAACGGCATGGGTGCGGTCGTACAGCGCATGAGACACAGCGGCGTACAGGTCAAGACCGACGAAGGCAAGGTGCTCCTGATTCATCCCATCGCTCAAGAGTGCGCCTTGTGGGATGGCAGTGTTCAGACCACCACCGCTTTTCCGCTGCGACTGGGCTACAGCACCACCTTGCACAAAATTCAAGGTGCCACCCTGTCCCACATCACCATTTGGATGGATGTTCCTTTCGTGAAAGCAGCACTGTATGTAGCACTCTCGCGAGTACAGTACGACCGCGATTGGAAGTTCGTAGGAAGCATCGACCGCCGCCACTGCCTGCCAGCAGCCATGTGAGGCGAGCATGTGAAGCATGCAACAGAAAGCTCCGGGGGCTACAGCAATTTCTAGTAAGAATGGAAAACTGCAGTTTCAAGTGACTCTGGAATCATGGAGCCCCTCGAGCCTGACGCCCACGGAGCGGATACAATCCCCGTGGACGAACCAAACCAGCGTGTACTGCATCGAGCAAAAAGGGTCAATGCCACAGCTGACGCACTGCGAGGTGCTTAATCGAGTACGAAGTTGTGCATGCTGCATGTCGCCATTTGGCCGCAGAACCGCTGACCATAACAACATATAAAGACAATCCCAACTAACATCTTTCACATGTGTAAACTCGGATGGGACAGTTACCAGTGACAAGCACAATGGACCTGGCGCCGTGCTGCCACCAGGCATCGACGGGACTGCTTCCAAGTTCTTGCTAGGTGTAGTCCAGCCAACGCCACGCGCCAGAATACAGTTCTTGCTCTGTCCGGTGTGCTTGCAACACCTGCTCACTGACAAAAGCCCAAATCTTAAAATGATCCTAAAGAATAACATTTAGGCCAGAATTCTTATTGGTAAGTCTCATTCTTAAGAATCAGGTGTGGCTTTGTATTGTCGACTTTGAAACTAGTCACGACAATATAAATATGTAACGCCAACGTCCACCCTGAAATTGCCGTGGCTGTGTATCGCAGACTTTGTAAACAATAAAGCCAGTAAAAGTATGTAATGCCAACGTCCACCCTGAGATTGCTGTATTGTCGACTTTGTAAACTGTAACGATCACAGCCGCAGGCTTGCGATGGTAACGTAATCGTGTCCCCAAACCTCGTCGCTGGCAAGCTGCTCACAGCCACAGGCTTGCGATGGTAACGTAATCGTGTCCCCAAACCTCGTCGCTGGCAAGTTGCTCACAGCCACAGGCTTGCGATGGTAACGTAATCGTGTCCCCAAACCTCGTCGCTGGCAAGCTGCTCACAGCCACAGGCTTGCGATGGTAACGTAATCGTGTCCCCAAACCTCGTCGCTGGCAAGTTGCTCACAGCCACAGGCTTGATGGTAACGTAGTCGTGTCCCCAAACCTCGTCGCTGGAAAGTTGCTCACATCCACAAGCTTGCGATGGTAACGTAATCGGTCCCCAAACCTCGTCGCTGGAAAGTTGCTCACCGCCACAAGCTTGCGATGGTAACGTAATCGTGTCCCCAAACGTCGTCGCTGGAAAGTTGCTTGCAAACACAGGCTTGCGATGGTAACGTAATCGTGTCCCCAAACGTCGTCGCTGGAAAGTTGCTCACAACCACAGGCTTGCGATGGTAACGTAATCGTGTCCCCAAACCTCGTCGCTGGCAAGTTGCTCACAGCCACAGGCTTGATGGTAACGTAATCGTGGCCCAAACCTCGTCGCTGGAAAGTTGCTCACAGCCACAAGCTTGCGATGGTAACGTAATCGTGTCCCCAAACCTCGTCGCTGGAAAGTTGCTCACCGCCACAGGCTTGCGATGGTAACGTAATCGTGTCCCCAAACACGTCGCTGGAAAGTTGCCCACTGCCACAGGCTTGCGATGGTAACGTAATCGTGTCCCCAGACGTCGTCAATGGAAAGTTGCTCACAACCACAGGCTTGCGATGGTAACGTAATCGTGTCCCCAAACGTCGTCGCTGGCAAGTTGCTGCAAGTCGCTCACAGCCACTGGCTTGTGATGGTAACGTAATCGTGTCCCCAAACATGTCGCTGGAAAGTTGCCCACAGCCACAGGCTTGCGATGGTAACGTAATCGTGTCCCCAGACGTCGTCGCTGGAAAGTTGCTCACAACCACAGGCTTGCGATGGTAACGTAATCGTGTCCCCAGACCTCGTTGCTGGAAAGTTGCTCACAGCCACGGGCTTGCGATGCGTCCAGGGCTGTTTAACCGAATCTGTTTCCTTTCATGCATGGAGTGCCATTGCCACTACTGCTACTACTGATACTGCCACTGCGCATATACTGCTATACTAACAACTGCTTTACAGCTATACGACAGCGCCGGCCACGGTACGACCACCGGCAGGGCTGCCACGCTACTTTGCAGCATTTTTTGTAAGTCTCAATCTCGGAAACTTGAGATGCTTGTTGGGCACGCTGGTTTCTTTAGCACACATTCTCGCGGCGACTTTTGTAAGTCTCAATCTCGGAAACTTGAGGATGCTAGTTGGGCACGCCGGTTTCTTTACCAGGCATTCATGCGGTGATTTTTGTAGATCTCAATCTCGGAAACTTGTGGATGCTAGTTGGGCACACTGGTTTCTTTAGCACACATTCTTGCGGCGATTTTTGGGCTCAAGTCGTTTCTTGCCGTCCTACTTGGAAGTCCTTGGTAGCTATTTCCAAACTCAGCATGGACAGTGGGTTTCGGCCTCAGAGTTGGAGTGAAGCGAGCACTCGAACAATGCCTGAAGCCACCTTGCCAGGACCGATGATCCCATGTCGGAGGTCATCGAAGACCGGTAGGAGAGTCTAGCGAACGGCTTCCTGTCAGTGCTCGCGACAGGCAGAAAGCGACTCCGATATGTTCGCATGGCGCAAAACGCAGCAGTTCGATCAGACCTGGCAATCGATTTGCGACATGTTTTCAATGAGGGGTGTGGAAGACATCCGTTCAAGCGGGGCGCAGAGGTGGGTTGGGCTGCCTTTCATTTTTTTCAAGACCTGATGGTCCAGAGATATGCCAACGTACCAAAGCTAGGCGAAATAAAAAGCACGTCCGGTTGGTTTGCAACAAACAGGAGGGAAGGTGACATCGACCGGAGCGTGCTTGGACCCGAGAAGAGTCCACCGATCCTCCCAACTCTCATTCCCAATTCTTAGTCCCAATTCTTATTCCGAATTCTTATTCGCTAATTCATATTCCTAAATCATAAAGCCAAAATCCTAAAGAATAAGAATTAAGCCCCGGAAAGGGGGTCCCCTCGAAATCCGCCACCAGCCTACATTAAAATGCGTTTTTTATGAACAGAATTTGACAACAGAAAATCCGTCCACCGATCCTCCCAATTCGTATTCCCAATTCCTATTCCAAATTCTTATTCCGAATTCTTATTCGCTAATTCATATTCCTAAAACCTAAAGCCCAAATCCTACAGCGAAATCTTAAAGAATAAGAATTAGGCACCGGAAAGAGGGTCCCCTCGAAATGCGCCACCAGCCTACATTAAAATGCACTTTTTATGAACAGAATTTAACAACAGAAAATCCGTCCACCGATCCTCCCAATTCTTACTTCCAATTCTTATTCCAAATTCTTATTCCGAATTCTTATTCGCTAGTTCTCATTCCTAAATCTTAAAGCACAAATCTTAAAGCGAAATCTTAAAGAATAAGAATTAGGCCCCGGAAAGAGGGTCCCCTCGAAATGCGCCACCAGCCTGCATTAAAATGCACTTTTTATGAACAGAATTTGACAACAGAAAATCCGTCCACCGATCCTCCCAATTCTTATTCCCAATTCTTATTCCCAAACCCTTTCGGCACCTTTCGGGGCACAGGCAGTCTCGGCTGTAGCGGAAACTACCCTAAGCGAGAGCCGTTTAGCTCAAGCTTCGCCGTGGCGGAGGCACACGTATCCAGGACCTGTCATTCTGCCCACACACGCCGTGTGGCAAAGAAGAACAGAGATACTCCTCAACGTTGTCATAGGCCGTCGCGCTCAACCCAATGCAACAAACCGGCAGTTTGATAGCCAGGGCAGAAGAAAACGGTCTCATCTCGGCTGTTCGCAGCCGTCCATGACTCTGCGCAACGATGGCCCGAACTTGTTGCCGGAAATAGCGCGCTCGAACTGCAAAAGAGAGCCCAGCCATCGCCGGAGAATCGAAGTCAAAAGTGCACCACTTTCGAAGTCTCGTATCCAGGACAGGCGGGATCAGGGCCTCCTCAAAGCAGAAGGCCAAATAGAGCTGTGCGAAAGAATACCATTGGACTCGATCCGGCGGCAGAGCTGCAAGTCCCTCTAGCCAACGAGCAAGACGACCCACAAAAGACAACCCATACTTAAGCAAAGGCCGAGGCACCGGGTCTGGAAGCGATCGTATTTCCGGCATAGTAATTGCCGGCTCCTCAGGAGTCACCGACCACAAAGCATCCTTCCCTGCCGTTGCTTTCGCAGCGATTGTCCTATGAAGTTCCAGCGCCGCACGTGCTTTCACATCCTGCAGCGCATAATCGCGACGCACCTCCTCCCAGATGGCCCAAAAGGTGGCCGGCCGTTGCAGGTTTGCAGCATCTGCTGCACGATCAGCTGCCGCATTGTTCTCAATGATCCAGTCCTCAAGGGCAGACTTTGACTCCACCTCATCCACATGAGCTGCCACTTTGTGAATCGTCCAAGGCACACGAATCCGGGCGAGCAGGTCTGCGATCCGCTGCCACAGGTCGCTGTTCAGACTTGAAGGGCGCACAACAGACTCACCAGCTTGCAACCGCTGTAATTTCCGGATCACTCCAGCGCAATCGGACCAGATGCGAAGAGGACGCTGCGTCACATGTGCCAACGTGAGGGCAGACAACACAGCATAAATTTCCCCTCGGAATGCAGTCTGTATGATGCCCGGCAAAGGTCCAGAGGCCAGAACCCACGGTTGCTCTGAAGCACGTGACGCCAAAACGACGCCCCAAGAAGCCAGTCTCACCTGAGGAATGGTGGGCAGCAAGCAGGATCCATCGGTGAAAACATCCAGAAGATCCGGCAGACTAGGAGGCCAGTCGAAGCTTCCACATGTGTCAGGTATATCATGCAGGGCCTGCCAGAGCTGCACCTGGCCCTTTGGCTGAAGCGCCCAGCCACGAAGCGACTGTGCCGGGACATCAGTAGCAGGATCAGGCAGTTCAGAACTTGCAAGGGCGGAGCGACAATCCGCAAAAGCAGGGCACGACCACAAGCGGTGTGCCAAGCTGTCACGGCATGTGCAAAACTTGCACTGTGCAGTATCCGCCGGATCCTCACTGAAGTGGTGCAAAGCATCCTGGGTAAAGAAGGCCCCCGACTGAAC